CCTATGTAGAAGAGGCAGATGTAGACCCTCTGGAACTTACTCCTTAATGGAAAGAATATGGACATGGATGGGTACAAGATGCACAGACTCCTGTGTTGGAAGCCTTCTTCAGGCCTTTAGAAGATTCAAGGAAGCCACCAAATTCTCTTTCTTGTACACAGACGAGTGTGGGATTGTGTATGTCTGGTACACTGCTAAATGCCTAATGCCTATCATAACTTACTGTTTAGGAGAATTCTGTATGATCTGAAAGATCTCAGGCAGAAACAGCAGCAGCACATGGTGTTGCATGCTAGGGAATGCAAAGAGATCATACAAAGGCAAACTGCATTTCTGCTCTACTCTAAACATTTTGTGGCCAACTCAATCCCTTGATATATCTTTTTGATGGATTCAGAGGTACTATTTGTCTTCAAACAAAACTTGATAGGTAGGAAGTATGTGCTGGATATAAAACTTTCATGTTGAAGGTATGGAGATCCTGTTCCAGTTACTCTTAGAATGGCTTCTTTTCTCATCAACATGCTCCAAAACATAAATAACCGAGAGCGTTACAATACTGTCTTTGGTGGGAGAATACTCACAAAGTCAGGGTTGTAAAAGATCATATGTGAAAACCACAAATAGTTCAATAAGGAAAATGAAGTGTTACTGTAAAGCTTCAATATCCTAACTAGGGGAAATGGTTCTTGCAAGCCTGTTCCAGCAATTAATACTGTAGATATTTGTTACTGGGTATAGTCCCTTCCAGCCGTATCAGACCTTATCATGTAAGTGGACTTATTACGATGGTATATTGTAATACATTGCGTGTCTCGAGTGTCTGAATGAATACAGACCCAAAGTCTAGACAGAAAAAAACCCAGTACAGTAGTCAGGACACTGTTCGGAGAGCGAGGGAGGCTTGGCTGGTTTCAGATCTAACATTATTATATGATGTTTAGCAGATCACTTTGACCTGTTCCTCAATTTTACTTTAAAATTTAATAGTACATTGCCAGCTCTCTATAAAGCTGAGACGATAAAATTTATCAGGTACTATAAATTGCTCAAATGACATTGTGATGAAAATTACATTATAAGACAGAATTATAAAAATGGAGTCCCTGTTAACGTGGATTTTTAAAAGAGCAAACGCATTACCCTGATTTTTCTTGTTCTTAGCATTCTCAAATGATTTGCATCTCCTGGAATCACTCTTGGATTGTATCACAGGTTGAGGCTGGGCCAGCCACTAACAAATGACAGACGCTCTCTATTAACCCCTCTCCCCTCCC